CATACAAGCAATGCAGATAAATTTATGGATGCAGATTTTGAATATATAGGACATCATCTCCTATTGTATCTGGTTTGAACACTGTACCAGAGATCTTCATTCGAAAAACTTAGGAAAAAAAATGGATATGTTGGGCCAACCTGATTTCTTGCAAGCAGAAATACATGAAATATAGTAAGGCCGCCTAAGAACAAGACAGTAGCAGAACTAAATGATATTAGTGCCAGAGTTTCAGGACAGTTCTTCAGCATTCCAAGCAATCCAGTGCCAGTTCTGAGCATTCTTTGGTGGATTCTCCAGCACGAGAAAGCAAATACGTACACAAAGAAAATCAAGGCTGATATGATAAATGTTAGGTAAAATCGATAGTTTCTCTGCACAAACAAAGATCACTTTTCAGAATTCATGCAAGCAGCACTGCAGGTATTGAAGGTTTGTTAGTGTTAATACCAGTGCAATGCATTGGCCGATCCACGGGCAGTGGTGATCAAATTTCTCGACACAATTATCACAGATGGCGCAATGGCAACTCCGGGGAGGCCTAAAAAACTTACAAATGCGACAATATTTTAGTTTGAGTTCTACCCCATTAACAGTTACCCTCTTTCTCCTGGTTCCATCGCTCGTGCCAGCAGTTTCCTCGATAGATGATCCATCATTTCTAGGAATAATTCCTGGATCAGTTGTACTTACCAGAAACAGGTTGACCAGAACCTGTATTCCCAATAAAATAAAATAAATTTGATCCTTGCCGAGTAAATATTAATTACTGCTAATTTTATAGAATGAGAGGGACTGACAGTTAGTGTTAAAATCAAGGAAAAGGCTGTGATAAGACCAGAGTCGTGCGGCAAATCATCCTCACTATACATGGCAAAAACCCAACTTGAGAGTATTATTGAAACAGTTGTCAACAGCAATCCCCTAGGATCTGGGCCACATATGAGTCGTCCATGGAAAAAAAACACCTGCATGCACATAAAATTAAGCAGCAATCAATTTTGGCAGTACAGAGTACTGCAGACAGATTATACAAGGTGATTGCTAATTGTTATAGATTGTTGAATTCGAAAGTGAGAACAAGTACTATTGGAACGTACATTATTCCCTGGCCAAACCTGGTAAGCCCTTGTTATGTCTGGATCGCCTGCACAGCCATATTGTCGTAGCCACAGATCCTCAACAAACCTCTGGACTGCCACAAGATTCTGTCTTATCGTGTCCATAAACCTAGCCAACTTCATAGCCATTTTGTTGTGAAAACCTTGAGTTTTCTTCTCTGTGTCATTGTCCCTGTTTGATGCATGTCCAAACTGTTGTGCTGGTGGTGGACTTGAAAGAGCAATGGGTTCCATCCCAAGATCATCTTCATCATCAATCCCTTCCACTTGCGAAATATTCTCAAGTCCCTTCATTTTTTAAATCTCTTCCCTCCCCTTTTGTTTTCCTGGAATGGAATCAAATATGATCCAAATAACTGAATTTCGAAAACTGAAAAGCGGTTACAGGCTTATAAAGGAGTTAACTTTGATTGTCCTTTTAGTTTAGAACTAATTAATTAGTCCCTATAATCTCAAAAATAACTAAATAAACTTTTTAGTAGCATTGAGCATCCTCATTTTGTTAGGTTTTTTTTTTTTTTTTCATAAATTCTTTTCCATCCGAAACTCCATGATAAAGTGAAAGTGCAGAAAATACAAATCACAGCAGTGACGATCGCTTCTCTAGCAAAGCAGTCTCTTCTCTTATTCTTCTAATAACCTCTCTTCATCATGCTGTCTACAATCCCGCGAGAAACCACAGCTGCTTCTTTTAAACGCGTCTTGGTTGACGATTCAAGCGCTAGAAGTTCCATTCATCCAATTTGCCGCTTCCATGTATTAAAGCTTTGATAGAGAATCCTGGATTAATCGAGCTCGAAGGCAACCGAGATTATTTGGTGGATACCATTGCATTACATGATGCAATGGGTGTTCTTGCTCCTGCAGTTTATGTTCATCCTACTATTAATTTGTAAGGTGTAACTCACTGTAACTATCTAATTATCAAGTGGTTTGTGACATTGCATGCTCATGAAAAAGCAGTCTGTGGGTGACCTAGGTATTACACAACGCCGATAATGATGTTATCTGGCTGCAAAGAGAATTGAGTGACCTTTTCTCCATTTGAGTACTTACTTGTGCATAGCATGGAGAACACATGATCACCAGTTCCAAATCTAATTTGCCAGAGTGTTTACTATAGCCTGTGAGGGTTTCATTGTGGATTCTTCTGGGAAACCTCTTGTTTTATTTTCTACTTTGGTTTTTTAATTTATTTATTTTTTAATTTAGGTTGGAATAATGTTCTGGATGATGATGCAAAAAATAATGTTTGATTTTATTAATATTAAGATGAATTAAAGCTTTAATGATCAAATTTGAAGCTTAACGGCTTTGTATGATCAAGGAAAGTTTTCTTTCCTGCTCGGATGATGTTGCCAAAAATAATATTTGATTTTATTGATATTAAGATGAATCAAAGCTTTCATGATCAAATTTGAAGCTTAACAGCTTTGTATGATCAAGGAAAGTTTTCTTTCACTTGATTTTAGTTTTTTTTTTTAATTTAATTTTTTTACATTAATTTTATTTGAGATTTAGCTTGGCAAATTATTTTAATTGACTAGGTATTAGGTTTTTGCAATTTCAATGAAAAACTTTGGTGTTTGATTGATATATAATTTTATAAAAAAAATTACACTGAATTAAAACAATCAAGTTTTAAAAAATCAAAATTAAAACTAAATAAATATGAAGATTAGGACAAACAAATAGAGCAAATAACATAACGTGTGTCTCTTGAGAGCCGGTAGATAGGGGTGCTTCCACCATCTTCAGGTGGTGCGAGAGGCATTACCAAACAACCAATGACAACTTTCATGTCAGATTTGGAAGTGTCACACCAAGATCTTCCAAGTAGTTTGACACGTGTAAGAATGAACACAACAATTGGACTCTAGCAGACGGTTTTTTAATCTCTTTCATCTTTTTTTTCTCCTCCCTTTAATAATTGTCTTTGCCTGCAAAATTTTTGAGATATCTTATTATTTGTTGTTCGTAGTGAATTATTATTTATTTTATTTTTATTTTTTAATATTAGATTTAATTTAGTTTTTATATATTATTTGATTTTTACTTTCTTTAATTGTTATATATTTTTTATTATTTTTTTCAATGTAATCCCTTAAAGTTTGGTTTTGATTTATTTATATATCAAGTTTGGTTTTTATTTTTTTAATTAATTTTTTTTAATTTCATCCTAGTATTATGTTGATTAGGGATTTAACTTCATAATATTTTTGGGTTTACTTTCTTTAGAGTTAATTTCTATATCATGACTTGAGTCGTAAGTTTTAAAAATTTTCTCGAGTTGACTTTAATTTTTTATATTATTTTTTAAATTAAAATAACTCAAATTAAAACAATTAGAAGGTAATTTTTTTAGTAAAACAATTGTTTTTATTTGAAGGTACCTTGCCTGTTTACCCCAATTATCATATTTGAATTTTTAAGATTGAGTTTCTTGATTTTTATTTTTTTATTTTTTTCTATGAGGTTATCATGATTAAGTGCTTGACGAGTTTACCCAAGTTATTTTGAATTTTTTTTAGATTATTTATTTGAGATTGAATATTTTTTTTATATTTGATCTTTCAACATTTAGTTTGTTTGAGAATTAACCTTCATGATTTTTATTATTTTTTATTACGTTATTTCATTCATATGATCGAGCTCATAAAGTCTAGAGGCCTTATCCTGATTTGTCTATGTTTAACTTTTTTGAAGTTCTTTTTTTTTTTACTAATTTTTTTTGTTTGTACCCTTTTATGCTTGGATTTTTGAAAATTGAGTATGTTATTTTTTTCTATTTGTTTTTTATGAAATTATCCTAACTTCAAGACACATGTTGCAAGTTTATCCATCAATTTAAGTTAATTCAAGTTCTTTTTTATATCATTTTTATATATAATTTTTAATTTAATATTAGTTGATAAGTAATTTTTTCTTTTTCGGTAGATGTTTTTAGTTTTTTACGGGTCACCATGCTCTGGGTACATTTATCAACATCACTTGTTTTAATTATTGAATTAAATAAAATCATCTTATTAAATTTAGTAATATCTATAACCGAGTTATGATTTTCTTTATTTTTTAAAACATATTAGCAACACCTTCACATTGGTTTTTTTTTTAATGTTAAAAAAATTAATCCAACACCGAACAAAGTGCAGGCCAATGAAATGCAGCGTAAAGATTGGAGGCAGCGCCTTCCATCAGCAGAAATGCTAGTACTAAATGGTCAAACAGATGCATGATTTCTACTGTATATTGCAGGATGTTTAATAGCCGAGCTCAAACTACAAGGCAGTGGTTTGTCTTTAATTGTGACATGGTGATTTAAAATATTTTTTATTTTAAAAAAATTATTTTTAATATTAATATATAAAAACATTTTAAAAAATAAATTTTAAATTTTAAAAAACATGTTTATACGGCATTACTAAACACGACATTAATTTCTATCAATGTAGATTTTAATGTAAAATGGAAGGATTGAACCGTACAAATAATTAGTCCTCCAAAACAACAAATGCCAGCCATCAAGTTCTTATGTTAGAAGTGGCAAGATAGGATGGGGCGATAGCTTTAATAGACATTCCTCTTCTTTCTAAGTTAGAAAATAAGGACTTTTTTTTTTTATCAATTAACTAAGGAAAATGCATGTTATATTCTCTGCTAGACCACTACTAGATCCTGGATGTTCACGGGTGAAGAAATCCCAGTAATGCGGTTGAGAAATCGAAATTAAGATAGTCGAAGAAATGAAAAATCCAGCAATCTGTAAAATTATTACTAGTTTTAGATTTTTCTGTTTTAGTTAGTTTCCTAGGTTTAGAGAGAACTATACTTCATTCTGACAAATGAAAGTTATTCTTTCTTCAAAAAAGAAAAAGAAAAAAAGAGTCACAAGAATATTTCAGATTAAAGCTTCCCAATAACTACAGCAAGTCTTTAAAAAGTGGATTTTGGTACAACTTTGCTATTTAAGCAGTGCTGGAGAAAACAAGCCTGATCAGTGGAAGCGTGCATCCAGGAATCTCTTGCAGAAGAAAGCAAAAAAAATGTGAAAGGGTAATGAACAGAGATTGAATTCACCGGTTTTAAATGAAGGCCACTCGTCAATCCTGTCCCGTTACCATTGTCGCTGTCATTGGCTAAAGAAACACGAGAATTTGTCCTGTGACCTTTCCATTTTCTTTGTACCAATTTCAATTTCTTTCTAAGCCAAGTTCTGCATCAAAACTTGAACATCACCAGAACTCTGCCTTCCCCAGTAACTCTCGACAATGTAAAGAATGCCTCCTTTAAATGATGAAGTGGTGATCTGCCATTAGAAACAAAAAGGGTGGGTACATGTCTTAACAGAAATTTTGATTGTCAGGTAGTTGCGCTAAATGGAAGGCAAGAGCTTACCTGTTCCAGTAAGGCATTCTACAGTGCCAATAATTGAGACCTTTGATCGATGCCGTTGAATATGAAAGTCCCCACCATGGGAACAAATTGTTTCGTTATGAGCTGTAAAGAACAGGAAATTTGTGATCTCATGTAGGTGATTGCATTAAGATTAACTTCAAATGGCCTAGTTTTAAAAAATAAGGCAGCCTACTTTTTTATCAAGAAAAACTTAAATGCCATGCAGTGTACTAGGGATAGATATATATATAGACCTTGATCACTTCTTGCGATGCAATTCCCCCAATAAAGGCAGCAACCGCATGAAGTTCAGAAGCACCAAACCGGCACATTTCATTGACAAGGTCCTCGGTTACAGTCGCACCATTGCAACCGAGGTCACTAAGTAGACCAACAACAGTAGTTTTCAGTCGAGATATATCCTCATCCATTTCCCTACAAGACATCAATGATAGAGCAGAATTCAGTTTGGTAGTAGAATGCAATAGCTTATTGGAAAAAGAGTAGCTGGTAGGTATCTCAGGTATTTACCCTTCAAATTGCCCAGGAAAACTGTTATAATTAGCAGCAAAGCGGTCAACAGCTCGAAGCAGGATATAAAACCCCATGGCAACACTGCAACTCAAATTAAAAAGAAAATCAGTGGTTATGAGCAAAACAAATTCCTCTCAATTCGGCTAATATACAGTTCATTTGTCTTATAATGTAAATCCCAGACAGAAAAAAAAAAATTTATATATATTAAAGAGAGAGCAGTTGCGATGCATATTGAAATTCTCCAAGATAGTTGTTAAATCAGGTTTCCCAAAATATGGGATTCCCACCATTATTGAATTTGGGATGAATAATGCATGTAGATTTTGCTCAGTTCCTGTGTTTTGCAAAGATACATGAATTTTGATGCATCGATGCATTTTCCTATAAAAATTCACACTGTATTGGACAGTATATCTTACAAAGGGCAAACAGCACAATATTTGCCTTGAACTATGCCAAAGATGGTTTTGATAAAGTTATTAGGACATTGTTTATATATTTGAAATCTCATGTGTGTGCTTCACTACATATTATTTAGGTGTACATGGTAGAAACTGATAAGAGAATATCATGTCTCAAAAACCTTCTTGTAGAAAGGGGACAAGATTGTTGCAGGACAATGATATCTGAGCGGGAAACCATACAGAGATCCTCACCTGTATTCCTCATCAGTTAAATACTTCTGTAACTCTGTTACTGCAGGCTTGTTGAACTCATCTTCAATAGGTCGATACCGGCAAATCTATAAAGAAGAGTTTGAAAACGCTCACTAACATTCCTTATCTAAGAACAATATAATCCATCTCAAAGAGGAAAAATTGCAATCCTCCATTATGCACATTATGATGATGTAGTTGCATGTCTAGTTGAGAACATTTTTGGAACACGGAGAGATATATGTTTTTCCAGAGCTCTCATCCAAAAGTTCTATAACTCAACAATAATGCCTCGGAGAGAGTCCGTGTGCTATCTGTTCAACAAGTCCCAGAAAGTACTTGAATGTAAATGGTAGTTAACAGTAAACAAGATTAATTCTGATGAGAAACACAAATATTAAGCTTTTATCTAGCTCAATAAGCATGAATCATAACAAGGATAAAGGCACTTTGACAAAGAAATATCTGAAAAATAAAGTGTTGTATCAAGAGGAAACACACGTAATCAATGACAGGCAAAAACATAAAATATGAACTTACCTTTAGTTTTCTTGCATTTTTGCAAAAGCTTTTAATCATTTCCTTTGAGATGCTATCTGGATCTCTACCCATTCTCTTCAGAATACTCTTAACTCTTTGCTGAATAGCAAGGAAGTCGGCCTCAGCTTTTGCTTGGTAGATCTTCTGCAAATTTACATAAAGCCTGCAAAGGAGTTGATATTCATCTTATAACTTCCTTTTGTTGTTTTAATTTAAACTACTATGAAAGAAAGATTGACCCCAAAAAGGTTTAGTCACTAACTCAGTTGAAGAAGTCATATCTGGTATTGAACCCTCAAGAGGTGCCTCCTCACCACCTTCATTCGCAATGAACTCCTAAGAATGTCAAGGATAAATTCAAGAAATCAAAATCTCAAGAACGGAGGGTGATCATAAGAAATAGAAATAAATTTTTTCATCAAACTAGATCCTAAATGTTAAGTATAGTTGTAAGAAGGAGATTGTGCCTTGCAGGCTCTAATGGACACTGAAACAACCAAGAGAGGAGAGACAGGGAGATGAATGTAAGATGCACATTGCAGCTTGAAAGAAATTGTCCAACCCTTCAGTACTTGTGCACAGAGCCTAAAAAGAAAGATTCTATTGCAAGCCCATCAAAAGCATCTACCATGAAACCCAAACCTCTAATAGTCCTATTACTTTCTTTCCGAACAGCAAAAATTCATGAGCACACATCCATGCATAGTGCCCAATCAAATGATTGAAAAACACCTCTAAAGAGGGGGCATAACTTCAAGACATCCAGAGATTACTCCAGAATTTTGTCCAAACTAATAGATTAGAAAAAATGATCAGTGATCCAAGTGTTTCCAACAGTAACATTATCCACCATGACACTCAGCTGGCCAATTTCATTTTGCCTAGAGCCCCACAGCAAGCTTGTCAATCCAGTCATGAAATAATCCTAAAAGCATCATTTCTACAGACTTTAATACAAGTGAATTTCACTCCAAGCACAGTCATTGGAAAACAGCAGCGAGCCACAGAATCAAAGATCCAAGTCAGATTGTAATGCCTAACCTTCAAGCCAGCAACCATCACCCAAAAGTCAGATGAATTAGACTCAACTTCACTGCAGCTATCATGGATTATCCGCAACAGATCAGAATCTATGATATCAAAAACAAAAAGGCAACATTAGAGAGATCAAAGCCACCATTCACATGGAACTAGACAATATCGTTCTTTTTTTTTTCCCTTTCATTTTTTTACAGTTACATTCTTAATGTCCACCACTAACATCATATTGATTTCAATATTAAAAAAATCCCTATGCAATTGGATCTTAAAAGCTAATAATATATTTACTGTGTTAGATGAATATAAAATTAGCCAGGGTAAAAAAATGAGTAAGAAGACAGAATCAATTATGTGGATAAGGGGCAAGGCATGCCACAGATTGTTTCTTGTGAACTCATGTATATAAAGCAAACCAAATCCATTCCTACAGGGCAGGACAGAAGAGTTTAACAGCAATATCTAACCCATTTCCGTTACTCCATGCAAAACAAGTGTCCATGCAACCTCTGTTTTTTCCTTTATAGCTAAACATAAAAATCTTCTATTGGACATTTATAATTTACCTAATATGAAGAATGCATGTGTGAGCATAACAAAAACACTTCTGCTATCAATCTCAACCAACAAGTTCTTCTGAAACATCATCCTCCAAAAATTTTAAACCTGTTCTTCTGAATACTTTATACTCACTAATTCCTCGAGGCGCAAATACTTTAAAGGAGGCCTCAATAGCTTCTTTATAGTTGTCTTCATCCATTGCAACCATTCCTGCTTTTAGAATCTCCTAAGAGATTCGAAATCCCAAAGCACATGGCATTAACATAAAGAAATAGGACAAGAACCTAACAGGTAAATTGTGAACTAATTACAAACCTTGAATTCTTTCTTCTCATCCCTGGTTGATGGGAGGGAACCACCATGAGCTTTGGTCCAATCCTCAGCAACCTTGACTAGAATGACAACATAAGGTGTGTGCTTATGGGCAACAGGATCTGTCACATTTAAATCAATGGTTTCTGCAAACCTACCGTGTGCAAATACCATATAAGAAACTTCGAAGTAGAATACAGCATGTATGCTTTAAGCTCCAATCCAACCAAGAAGATAAGGAAAATGTATCTACAAAAGGAAGCATGTCCTCTGAGTGCAACATAAAATGAGGCTGAGAAGAGTGATGCTTCCTCCTGCCCACTTCACTTTTCCATGTTTCCTTTGAGATGTTCCATAATATTTTTCCAGTTTCTACATAAAGTACAAGAAAAAAATGTGTTTTCTATCTTATCCCTCAATTATTTGATTAATTATAACTCCATTTCAAAATATTTGGCATTCAACATTTTCCAAGGCAGAGATATTTTTTAGAAAATGCACAGCAGAGAAAGTAATAGATGATGTTTCAATAAATAGTTAGAAATCCAATGGTAGACAAATAAAATGGGACTGAGAGAGTAATAAATTTCTTCGATTTACTAATGCCATTAAGCAACAGTCTACTGTTATTAGATATGCATATGCACTGCAAAATATCAACTAAAAATAGATGCAAAGAAAAAGCCACGTACCTTTTGAGCTCAGGCCACGGGTTATTTAACCGAAGGTCATCCAAGAAATGATCTGGCTTTGACTCAATCACTGCATGTTCCTGTCTCCAACAAGAAAAATTCAATTTAGGAATCCTTGGATGCATAGAAAACAATTTCCAGACTTGATAGTTGGTATGTTAAAAATCCACCAATGTCCGTTTCAGTTTATATGTTCTTGTAGAAAAATTCAATTTAGAACCCTTAGATGTGTAGAAAACAATTTCCAGACTTGACAGTTGGTATGATAAAAATTGTTTCCGCTAATGCTCGTTTCAGTATTTGTAATCTTCAAAATTTGGCTCGCCAATTACATTTCACTCCCCCCACATAACTTTCTAGTGAGAGGTCCCAGAATTTTATGACATCAAATTATGAAAGAAATGAAAAATGTCCATAACATTGAATCTGAGAAAATTAAACAATGATGTAGCCACAAAGGAACCTGGTAGGTTATCCATTCAGTGTTTCAATGCAGTTCAATTACAGTTTCTGGAAGGCCAAGATAGTCACAGCAATTCCAATCATGATGAAGTAACAAAAAATTACCTTCACACTAATTCTGACAAACCAAACTTACCTTGACACTAATTCTGACAAACCCAGTAAGGCCATATGAGCGTGCAAAAATCAACAGAACATTGCAGATTTTATCGAGCTTTATCATCAAGTCTTCTGCCAGCTGCATGTGTATCAGGAATCATCCATCAAAGATATTGAACAGAGAGAATGAAGATAATTGAAAACCATGTTTTGAGAAACAGCAAATCAGAACATCCAGTCATGAAATAGATGGAATTATTTTATGATGCTTAGACAATGAGGAAAGACTGTACAACAATAAAAAAAAAATAAGAAAATGGGGCAAAAATTCCATGATTAGGGTACCAATATACCCTTAACAAAACCGCACACAACCATCTACAGCATATCAGTGATCCAAACCAATGCATTGAGCAAGTATGATCAACAAGACAAAAGCAGAAGCAAAATCAAAATCAAACATAGCAGAAACAATATCCTAGAGCACGGCATTCCATCAAGCACCCTACTATCAAGACTACCTGAGTGGCTACAACCAGTGTAAACTGCGAAAAGAAGGAGGGATTTGAGCCAATTAATGCCTCGGGATACTCTTCTATAAACTTGGCTTTAACAGCATCATTTAACTCTTGAAGAAACGTGCACACACATTTCGCCTTAGATTGCCCAAAACATGATTCATCCACTACCAGCAAAAATCATAGATACACAAACAAATAAATAAATAAACAAAGCAAGATAAGAACGAAAAAAAAAAGGAAACAAACAAACCCACCCATGAAATTATTTCCAAGGTCACCCAGTTCAACTTTAGACCCATCAATCACAGTGATGGATCCAACTCCACCAAGTACAAGATTTTTCAACGTCTCGGAACCGGTAGGACCGCAATTAAGCAAACAAATGGTAGCTTTTTCTAAGGCAGCCTGTCCTTGCTCACCCCATATCCTAAACAAGTTTTTTTAAAAAAAACAGAAAAGCACCACATAAATATAACTTCCACATTTACAACTTCAAATTTATTGCACCTTTAGCTTACAATTATAAATTATAAATTTCTCATATTTATTCTTCTCCACATCCCAAACAGATATAATAAATTATAACACATTAGGGAAAGTTTGAAGCGATGATCAGTAAAAAGTAGTACCTGAGTTGGCGATCGTATTTCGTTTTGGGCTCTGCCATTGTTTAGGGTTTGCTTTTGCTTTTGCTAACTAACTACTGTCCACTGTCAAGTTCGCTTTATAGCTACACAGTTTGTGAGGGATGGGGGCAGAGAAGGCTGAAGGCAGAGAATTGCGTATATATCGGAGAACGAACCCAATATCTCTGGTTAATGAAGCAAATGGACGTCACCCACCCTTTTTACTTTTATTTTATATTTTTATATTTTTATTTATTTTACCCAGAAACCATTATTTAAATTAATTTACATGTCAATCAAATTTTTTTTTCAAGTAGTTTACGGATATATTATCTAAGGTTTTTCTAAAATATTTTTTATTTAAAAATATATTAAATAATATTTTTTATTTTTTAAATTTATTTTTGACATTAATATATCAAAATAATCTAAAAAATTAATTTTAAATAAAATATAAATATTTTAATAAATAACATTTTAACTACGATATCAAACAGTCATTAACATAATGCACTTAAATATTATATTCTACGTATGACGGGGAAGGTTAGAGTGTGAGTAAGATTTTTGACGAATAACATTTTGGCGGTAAGGTCAAACACTCTTTTACGTTGGAATGTTGTACTCAAAAAATTATTTCTTGTCACTACACAAAATGATTTATGACAGGGAACACTAGAGCGTGAGTACTTGTGTTGAAGGGCATGTGGTTTTTTATTGTGTTTGAAATAATTGGACTTACATCGAGGGACAGAGCTGGAATTATCTAATAGGGAGGTAAAAATTAATATAATAAGATGTAATTTTTTTTAATTTACTATACATGAATATGAATGATAAAAATAAAATAAAATAAAATTATGTGGTTTAGTTTTATTCAAAAAACTTATTACAAATCTATGATGATATTTATACAAGGTAAGAGATTTAAAAACATATTAAATTAAGTCAAAGTTAGAAAGTTAATTTTATTTTCATAATATATTCATCATTTTAATTTTATTGGTTTTATACCTATTAAATATAAATATACAAAATATATAAGAAATATTAGCTAAAGCGATGCGTTATTTATATTTGATAAAACTTTGAAATAAAGTAAAAAATAATTCTTACATATTTATTTTAATTGTGCTCGTGTTCTTTCATAGAGTAGAAATCATCGATTATCATATTAATTGTGAATCTTTCATCAATTTCTTTTTCTATATAGAAAATCAAATCATTTGTAAGAAAATCATCTTACATCCGATTGTGAAATCTTGCTTCAACAATCTTCATTAATAAAAAAATCTCATTTAATAGTTGTTGTCGATACAAACAAAGTCAAAATAAGTTGAATCAACCTATCAATGAAGGGATAAATTGTTGATTTTTATGTTTCAACCAATCCTTGACATAAATCAGCAATCAATGACATATTCTTTAACTTTGGATGATTGGGTCCATCAAATTTATAATGTTGCAACTAAAATCTCAAATGAGTTTTTTTTTAGTTAGAAAAGTCTTCAGGATAGAACTTGTCAACAATTAAGCATGTGTCTTCAATACTAAATAATTTATAGTTATTTTTAGGATCCTAACTTAACAAGCTCAATCGTCTGCTCATTAAATCTATTATTTAGCTCTTGCAGTTGTTGATCAATGATAACTATAAATATATCAACTTGATAGAATGCTCAACTATTATTGATTTTGTTTAACAACGAGATCATCCCACACTAGAAAAACAAGCATCCATATCAGGAACTTCAATGTCATGATATTTATAAAATGATGTCACTTTTTCTGAAAGAGTTTCTCAACCAACATCTCTTAACTTCTGAATTCAAGTATTTGTGGTAATTAACAAATACATAGCATTTAAAATGTCTTAAGATTTATGTTGCAAAGCTTGGCAAGGTACATCAGTAATTCTCGTAACATTTTTTATTATATACAAGATGAATGCAAAATCAAATGACATTAGCAACTTAAATGAAAAGGCCGTATCACCATGTTGAGAATAAAGTAGATTCATCTAAAGCGATGTTTTCAAAAACCGAGCAAGTTGCCCCATATTTTTTTATCAAACTGCAAATTGATTTGAAATGCAAACTCCATTTGCTATCTTTAGGTCATTACAAACAACCTACTTGATTAACTCATTTACTCAGTTCAATCTCATCAATATCAACTAAATGTTCAATTGTAGCTACTTGAAAAGCTCGTAATTCATCATTACGCTTGCAAAAGGCACTAACAATATTAATAATAAAAATCAAGTTCTGAAAGAAAGTGTAAACATCAGATATTTCTCTAGCTGTAGCAATAAGAGCCAATTGTAATTGATGAGCTAAACAATGTACATAATATACATAAGGGCAATCATTAATTAATAAAGATTGCAATCCATTCCACTCTCCACGTATATTACTAGCACTATCATACCATTGGACATCAAAATTGTGATGAGATAAAACAAAGAGAATCTATTTCTTAAGAGTTAAAAAAGTTATATCTTTGACATAAACTATATCCAAAAATCATTCTCATGTAAATCCATTTTTATCAACAAACCTAATAATAAGCGTCATTTCCTCTCTTCTGGATTTATCTCGAGCTTTATCAACAATTAAATAAAATTTTGCATCACTAATTTTATAATGAATTAAAAACTGAATATTTTTAACAAAGACATGCAAAATTTCTTTTTGAATTTGATACGAGATATACTTAGCATTTTATGGAGCATTATCCAAAATAAAAGCACCTACTTGTTTATTGTATGATGTTAAAAGTTTTAACATTTCAAGAAAATTATCTCGGTTTTTTTATTTTGGATGTTCATCATTCCCTCTAAAAGTACATGCTTGAAATATGAGTCAATAAACAATATATATTGAAGCTTTAATATGTAGTCGATTATTTAGAATTTTTTGAGTAGTTTGCCTCTTAATTATCTTCTTAATATGATATGACTGATTTTTTAAATTTTTCAAGCACCTAATAGTAAATTTATTAGCTGAATTCAAATATTTTCCCATATGAATCAAAAAAGCACATTGTTCCCCTTCATTAACTTTCTTCTGATAATCGAATCATTTAATAGTAAATGTGTCTGATCTAGGCTTTCTAGATAACTTACTTGAAAATAGATAGCAAATGAAACAAAATGCAGTATTTTTCTCTAAATATTCAAGCTATAAACAACTTTTGAACCAATGAGACTAAAATCAACAAGGATATTTTTCACTAGTCAGCGGATATTCAGATATCAAATATTGATATGACCTCAAATTAATGTATGCCCTTCTAATTTTATCTTGTTGATTAACCGATATTCCTAAATTTAAGAACAATTGATTGGATCTCTAATTAAATAAGCAATGCTGATTCTAGTAAAAGGCTACTCATTAATCAATGTAAGTTCTTTATAAACTGAAGCACATTGGGGTTGTTCAAACTTAACTTCAACATCACACATTAGAGTTCACTAGATTGTGAGTTATCAATATTTTTCCTTTTTTTTCTCAGAAAAGGAATCAATTTTTTTTATTTTGTTCATGATTCAACCAAAAATCAAAACACTGAATACAAATAACGATGTTAAAGCAATAATCAAAACCAAAAATAAATTTTTACATGTAAACCATATTGACATATAAAAGAAAAATTAACGTATTAAAAAAAACTAATATATAAAAGTAAATGTAATATAAAAAAATAAAATTATTGGTTCCTAAAAAAGAAAACTTACACTGAATTAAAGTTGGGTATGTGTTCTTTAAAGAATTTAATTTGGCTAAAAAAATCGTGTCTAATTGTATATTGAATATGGTTACAGTAAGGTACATATGAGAAAAAATTGATAATTTTAGTGGCTCTGCTAAAAATAAAACATAAAAAAATCCAAGCACAATCCAAACAAACCCATAAAATATATCCAATCAATTAGAAAAAAAAGAAAAAGACATTCACTATAACAAGAAATTAAAAAATAGTAAAACTAGTAGAACTGGAAAAAAAATAGCAAAATTATATATATAAAAAAACCTCATCAAATTCCTAACAAACATAAAAAAAAAAAAATTAAATTTGAGTCACTAATTATCTTATTTTAGTGAACAATGAATAATTGGTAACTTTGCTTTGACCTTTCTACATTACTTTGTATTATTATAATTTTTGGTTAGGACTCCATGGATAGAAAAAAGAGAGAGAAACAATAAAGAAAGGTAATTAAATTGGAAATGTTATTTATCTCTTCTTTTTTCATTTTCAGAAAGATAATTTTAAAGTAAAAGATAGCTAATAAAATGATAATATATTATTATAAAGCCTATCTATTTAAAATAAAAAAGATTACTTTTTATATTTAAATACTAGATAATATATATATAGCTTTTAAACCTTTTAAAGTGACCTAAGGCTCACGTTCCATCAAAACATTTTCTTAAATCACAATTTTTTCATAATATATGCACCACACGATTCATATAATATATTAGCATTACATAACCAATAATAAAGAAAAATAAAAAAATATTTTAAGAATCAATTTATCATTACATAACCAATAATAAAGGAAAATAAAAAAAAGTATTTTAAGAATCAATTTACTTAAAAGATTACATTAATTAATTAATTATAACATTTCAAAAGTTTACATGCTAAAACTCTTCATTTCCTAAATTATTTATATAAGAAAATGAAGACATGATGACTACTAAAAAGGTTCATGTGAAGTACCTCTAAAATACAATTAAATTACAATATATAAGTATGCATGTACTATTACAATACCTTTAAGACATTTCAATCTTCTTTACTTCTATTCTTTATATCTATAATCAAATTTGTTTTTTATAATCATTCCCAACATACAATTCTTGTTTCTATTTGTTACCCTTAGTTTTTTTTTAGCATAAAAAAACAATTGTTATTTTAGAAATTGTTGTATTTCATTTATATGACTATGTTCTTATTCTAATGAAATTTATTACTGATCTTCACAACATTCTTAATAACCTTATTGTATGCAATTAATCTTTAAGATCTTAATGTTCTGCATTGAAGATGAATAAATTCTTGAGATATATTCTTTCAACCTAAAAGCAATTCAAAACTCAAAATACATTATTTCACCTTAAAGGAAAATCAAGTCTTGAATTTCACTATCCTACCCTAATAGCAATACATATCTTAAAAATTAAAATCATTTTAACATAAATATTCATTCAAT